GGCAGCATCATGCTGTCTATATACCACCATCATCACGCTACAATAAGAAAGCCCTGATTTTCTCAGGTGCTTTGCACTAAAATATCACAAAAAATTTAACTTTTGTGTTCCTGCCACAAGGCAACAAGATGGGGGTCAGAAGACATAGGGCTAAGGGCAAAGCAGTGTGGATGTGTCTGGTCATTTCTAAAGGGGGCTTGTCTGCAGCAGTAGAGCAAGCTGTTCTGCACCAACATTTGGAAACCTAGGGTTGCTCTCTGGGATGCGTGCTTTCAGAAAAATGGAAGTAACATGAATATTCATAATCAGAAAGTGTAGAAATAAACCCTGAAAAAGTATGTATTCTACTTAAAATGCAGTCGTTTCTCTGAGCACACACAAAAGGAAAAACAGGAGGAGCAATCCTGCTAAAGCGAATCATGTTCTATATTCCTTTCTCTTCTACATACATGATGGATAAGGCATGCTAGTCCTATAGATTGTAGCTGCAAAGTGTAGGAAAGTAAAGCTCATTTTTTGTTGTTGTCTTTTGTTCAGTTGGGGGTTTTTTTTGTTTGTTTCGTCGTGCTTATTTTTTCCAGCATCTGAGTTCTTTGATTGAATAGTAAGAGGATGGTCTGGGCTATAAGGAATTAAATAAAAAACAACAATAACAACAACAAACCCCACCACCACAACCCAAAACATTAACATGAAACATGCTCCGTAGGCCAGGCTCACTGGAAGCTGCTCAGAAAGACCTTTCTGTGATTTTAAATCCTTGACCATGAAGTGTATGAATCTTGAAGCTCCAGAAGAACATTTCCTACCTATTTTGGAAACAATAATTCTGTTATAAACTTCATTTGGAAAGAAAAATGCTGGGAAATGTTTGTCAATATTTCCTCGCCCCCTCCTATTTTACTTCTAATTCCACTGCTCTAATACCCCAGTCACTCTTCTGGAACAGAAGTAGCCTGTACTAACTTACACACGACCATGGAACAAAATGTCAGTTTGTGTATTTTCTTAATTCTGTTTTCTGGCCATCTGTCATCCATTCAGCAAATTACGCTAGTATGATGCTCACCGGGTAGCAGCATTTAGGCATCTCAAATTTCCAAGTTTAACGTACTCACACTTGGTCCATCTATGTAATAGACATAGTCAATCTCAGAAAGCAATTCAACTTATTCTAACATAAATGTGCCAATTAGCTCAGAAATTTACATTTAGACAATTGAACTGAATTAAATGCTTGCCATTGTCCAGTGAGATTTACCTGCTCATTTAAATGCATTGCTGAATTAGCCTTGATAACACAGACCAATGGGAGACAACTATTTACTACTGTCTTGGGTAATTTTGTTTGACAGCAGGCATCTGATAAAAAAGGAATGGGAGCACAATCCATAGATATCAATCCCTGGAAGTTGACAACAACAGTGCAGATGACACATCCTGTGATTTAAAGCAGAAGTCATTTAAGACTAATAGCAGAACTAATTAACCTTTCACAGTGTGGAGTGTGACAGTTCTACAAGAGCAATAGCTTATGTTGCCATCACCACAGCAAATTTAAACCCCTGGACTTCTCAGATACCTTGCAGCAATTTAGTTAATTAACCATCACCTTTTAATTGTTAATGGATTTTTAGTAAATCTGGTCCCCTAAAAAGAGGTGTATTGTCATGTAAAAAAACACTAATGTATTTAATCATAGCTATATATTTTTAAGAATTGATTAGCTACTGTTAATGTGTTCTTAAAGTGAACACAATGTTGCTGTGCATGTCTGTGGTGCTCTTGCGGTACATAAGTAAGTCTGCATTTGATATATAGGTAACAGGTAAAATATCACATAAATTCAGCTGATATGGGTCTTATCCCTTTCAATATTCACTCTATCATATGTTTGTATAAAGCAATTTCATCTTTTTCTAGTCCTTGTTTCCTAGGCTAAATTAGAAAGTAATGTTTTTAGTGCTTTACTATATGGTTCTTTGCTACTGTGATAATCCTGGTTTGCACGTATTTCACCTGGAATCTTCCTGGAGTCAAACAGTAATATTCAAGTTACAAATGGTTTCCCAGTGTTTTAGAAAGCCATATTAGTACTTTCTTAGAAAGATATGCAACATCTATTTCACTGTATATACTTTTTTCAGACTTGTGTTGTAGCATTTGTTTATCATCATCCAATGACTACCAAAATACCCACAAACAGTTCCCTTTACACATCACTTATGATTGGTGTTTTCTAAACTTATAGAAGAATGCAAAAGGTTGTGACCGGGCACTGTGTTTTGAGCTATTTCTACCAATGCAATCCCCAGTGTCATCCAATCCCCTGACACCCTGAGAAACTTTATTTCTGTCATATCAGTCAAAGAACATTCATGTCCAGCTCAGTCCACTGTGAACTCTCTCAACAGCTCATAGACAGTTCATTAACACTTCCACTCATCAGTGTATCTCTTTTGCAAAATGTATTTCCATTTAAAGAATCAACTGCACAAACCAATGTACATTTGAGATGTTCTTACACACCTTTCAAAGGAAAGATGTAGTGAACATATATGAGGAAGAGGGGGAAAAGCCAAACAACGGAAGGAATAGGAATCTCTTCTGAGCCTTCAAAATTCTGCTAGATTTTTAAGTGGTGATTTTAAAAAAAAAGCTGGAGATCATTGTTTTCCCCATGAGGCTTAAATAGTGAAACAGCATTGTTTGTTATAAGGAGTATCTAGGAATACAAAATAGTCCAAGGAAAATTTCCAGATGCTGAGAAACAGTGCTGGAATTTTCAAACACATTCCAGTTTACTGGAAGCATTTCTTCCTTTTCCTAGCTCACAGCATCACAAGTAGCATCCAACCTACCTGATCTCATTTTAGGCTGAATGCACATCTAAGTGAACAAGAAGGTACTAAGGTAATCAAGAAAGAGGAGATCCTAACAAGCGTTGCAAATAAACCTTAAAGGACAGAGAGGGAATAAAGCAAAGTAAATAAGGTGAGCATATTTTCCAGAAAAGGAAGTGTTTAACTAAACATTGCCTGAAACTAACATTAGGTTTGTGCTACAACTGTCCATGTTGGGCCTTTGTCATGGTCAAACATTGGAGTCAGTGCAAGAACGAATATTGATCAAAAAGTGAGATTTATGCAACACCTGCCAGGTATGTCATTTCTCCATCAGTGATTTTGGTAATTTATCCACAGAGCAAAGGAGGCATTATAATTTTTTCTTATATCTGTTTCCAGTCATTCAAAATCCACAGTTTAGCCAGACTGTCTAGGTCACTCAACACTTTCCAGAAAAAGGGCATTGTATTCATACTTTAAAGCTTGTTGACACATGCTGGAACAGATTAATGAATAACAGGGGCACTGTTGGCCTTTCCTCCTTTGATCCCAGCTACTGGTCTTTGCTGCTGCCATCACAAGATGAGGGCTCCATTCTCTTTGCACAAACATACAGCAGAAAGCAAGATGCTATTATTGCATGTTCAAGCATATAGGAAGGCTTTTGTGATGATTAACTATAGTGAAAGAATCATTTGCCTCCTAACAGGTCCTCTCCCACCTTACAAACTATGGGTGAAACGCTGACCCAGCTGAAGCCCAATTGCAAATTTGTTATTGACTGTAAGTTAGATTCCAGCTTCAGTTTGTGAGGAGGGTTGAGGGCCCAGGTTGTAGCTGTGATTATTTGTTAATAAATTTTTATTCATGATCCCAGAAAATATTTTAAGTAGGAAAAACAATAGAATGTATGATTGCTCATGGACATCTGTGAAACAGCAGCTGGCATTTTTAGTGGGGATTATTCAAATTTGGTTATACATTTGTAATACAGGTAAGTAATCTCTAAATGCCACTTGGTAACTTTCTGGTCTTTAAGAGAGGAGCTTCTCCAGATGTATCATAATTGTTTACTTTCTGCAGAATTGCTTTGCTCCTTACAACATCTTGGCACAAGCTTCTAGAATTTCCTGGTAATGCATTAAAGCTCTAGCCTGCTGGCACCAGAAACTAGGTAATAAAGACTCCCAGGGGCTTAACAGTTCAGGTTTTTTTTTTTACTAGTGTCTAAAGAGAAGAAGAAGGTGAAATAATATTTCACAGTAGCAGGACAATAGATATAGAAACACAACCCCCATTATGACATGATGATATTATAGACAGCATTGAGCTGAGGGCATGGGCTTTGCTTACACCACCGCACTTATTTAGAAGATGTAGCCCTGCTCTACTCTGCCTGGCTTCAGTACAGCCTTGTGGGAGGACAGGCAGGGGAAAGGCCAAACAGCTTTGCCTACATTTCATTCTGTGCTTTCTCTCCATCTCTGGACTGATTTAGAGAAATCCATACAATGTAGGAATAATGGGCCTGTATTCCTGCCCACATATGAAAGGGAAATCACCTTAACTTTTAAAGGTCACAGTGAGCACTTCCCTTTAAATTGTGTGAATGATATTGCTCCATATACGTAAGAAGGTGAAATGAAATGTTAACTTCACTGAAGTCTTAATTCATTGACTTTCAGAATTGTACTTTTTAACACTCTTGTTCTCCTCTGAATGTTCAGAGGAACACTCTCACTCTGAATATTCTCCTTTTTTTTTCCTTTCCTTTTTTTTAATGGGATGACTTCAGAATCTTGTAGTAAAGGTTTCTGAAAAGGTGAATTGTAGTGACCATTACATGACTTGTAATGACTCCAAGTGAAATTTGTATTCTTGGGAACAAAGCTCCTCTGAGGCAAATACATTCTGAAGCATATAATCTAGTTACACAAGTGTACGGCATGTATCTACCATTTGTTCGTTCAAGCAATACATTATCTTTATACCCCTGACTAAAAAGTGTAAGCTGTCCTGAAAATAAAAAAAAAAAGACAAAAAAAACCCCTAAACTGAAAAAAACAAACCAGAAATCTTTACTTCTTTCCAAGTTAGAAAGATACATTCAGTTTCCTTTTACATTAATGGGGGTTGCTTTTTCTGCTTTTCCAGGTAAAACACAGGTTATGGGTGAAATCAAGATTGCATTAAAGAAGGAAATGAAGACAGATGGAGAACAGCTGATAGTAGAAATCCTTCAGTGCAGAAATATCACATACAAATTTAAATCTCCAGATCATCTACCAGGTATCACACAGAAACCAGCTTCATGATACTTTGAAAACATTAAGTAGGATGTATCTGAAGTCATTTAACATCACCACTAAAATGGGAAAGAAAATTGCTTCTTAATCAGAATGACATATTCTATAGGATTCTTTTTGAAGTCCTTTTTTTCTCCTATGAGTAACTTTAATGAATTAAAAACATTTTGTAGAAGCAAATTAACTCTCAGAAGTTAATCCTCTTTTTAATTTACTTTTGATTGTTAAAAATTAATCCTTTCTTTAAACTTTAATAAAAATTATAACTCCCTAGGTAATTAAAGAACAATGATATCTATAAAAAAAAGTATTTTGGTGAAAAATTTTTAAAAATTAAAAACTCATGTTAGTAATAATATTTTTATAAATACATAAAGACATCAAGGTATTTGTTCCTTTAATGACAGCATTGCAAACACAAAATAATTCCCTTGCATTTAGTGGGGTGGTTCCATTTCTACACCATGTGAATGAGAACAGAATATGGCTCTGTAAAGTGCCATGCTCTGTTTCTTCACACTTCCTCTCTGTTGAAATCATTAGCAACAATGATTATTTAAAAGCTTTTGCATTTAACTCGTTGAACTGTTCTTCCCCAGACCTGTATGTGAAGCTGTATGTTGTCAATATCTCTACCCAAAAGAGAGTAATTAAGAAGAAAACCAGGGTATGCAGGCACGACCGAGAGCCTTCGTTCAATGAAACTTTTAGATTTAGCTTGAGTCCTGCTGGGCATTCTCTTCAGGTAATTCTGCATTTCATTAAAACCTAATTTTGGATGTTGTTCATGCTGTGCTATGGGCATTTGAGATCAATCTTCTACCTCAGTTGTTTGCTGAAAAGAGAAAATTACAAAGGAAATAACACTACTACATAATAATGGAAATATCGGGCTGGAGCAGATTTTAAAAGATGGTTTAATCCATCACCCCACGCTGCGGAAGCTTATTTATAGACCAGGCCTGAATATTTTAGGCTTGATCTGTTCTTAAAGTCCCTTAGAAAAGGAAGTTATGCATGACTTCCAAAAATATTTTTATATATATTTAGAAAGTTTAGTGTAATATCCAACTTAAATATGCCATATTTTAAAATTAATCTAACTAATCCTTAAGTGTCCTCATAAAGCACAGAGGAAAACTGATCCGCTTTTGTTTTGTACAAAAAGTTTGCACACCGAAATGTTGCTATCATATCTCTCCTCTCTATTTTTCCAAGGTAAGTAAACAAAATTTCTTTTATATGTCCTGTTACCTAAATGCTTAATCATTTTATCATTCTCTCCAGCTCCTCAACTTCTTTAAAATTTGTGGTGCCTAGAGTTAGACACAATAGTCATAATCTCAGACATTGCAGAATCACCGATTATGCCAAGTCAGATACTCTCTGTGTACATTTGTAAAGGATGGTGTTTTTAGTCAAATGATGTGTGGAACTGATTCAGGGAATGGTCCCTCTCCTGTGTTTTAGTTGCTTAAACAGATTTGATCATTTGGTCAGTTATGCTTTTTTACAGGTAGGATTCACTTTACCTACCTTCATTTACTTTCACTTGGGTAGATAACTAATATAAGCCAGATATTCAGGCTTCCTCTAGTCAGTGGAAAGGGATAGACAATTCCAGGAGTATCTGCATGCTAATCTTAAAAGTAAGTGGGAGGAATTGTTGGGCATACCAGCATCCATTTAATGTACGGTTAAATCTGGAAGACTGACGTGAACAAGCCAGCTACATTTTGATGACTAAAGTTAGACTGAATTATCTAAGCGCCTATGTTAGGCTTATTGGTTGTATCATTAGAATTAAAGCCAAAATGGATGTTACTTAAAAAAGAAGGCCAACAAAAATAGATACTGTTTTCCCTGTATTAACGTGTCCTAACATCCTTATTGATTAAACAGACTCAATAAAAGACTATTTAAGATGTTATATTACCTGGGAAAATCCAGAGTGTTCAATAAAGTCTTGCCAAAGTTTAAGAGCTAAAATTCCTGTAAAAACTTTGCTTCCAGTGCTGGTTTGAAGAGGAAACCATAAGGGGTGAGTAGACCAGTAAAGAAGAACCCACAGAGTCCTATGAAAAAATAATTTCCTATGGAAAGGAAAGGAAAGAGAAGAGAAGAGAAGAGAAGAGAAGAGAAGAGAAGAGAAGAGAAGAGAAGAGAAGAGAAGAGAAGAGAAGAGAAGAGAAGAGAAGAGAAGAGAAGAGAAGAGAAGAGAAGAGAAGAGAAGAGAAGAGAAGAGAAGAGAAGAGAAGAGAAGAGAAGAGAAGAGAAGAGAAGAGAAGAGAAGAGAAGAGAAGAGAAGAGAAGAGAAGAGAAGAGAAGAGAAGAGAAGAGAAGAGAAGAGAAGAGAAGAGAAGAGAAGAGAAGAGAAGAGAAGAGAAGAGAAGAGAAGAGAAGAGAAGAGAAGAGAAGAGAAGAGAAGAGAAGAGAAGAGAAGAGAAGAGAAGAGAAGAGAAGAGAAGAGAAGAGGAAAGGAAAGGAAAGGAAAGGAATGGAAAGGAAAGGAAAGGAAAGGAAAGGAATGGAAAGGAAAGGAAAGGAAAGGAAAGGAATGGAAAGGAAAGGAAAGGAAAGGAAAGGAAAGGAAAGGAAAGGAAAGGAAAGGAAAGGAAAGGAAAGGAAAGGAAAGGAAAGGAAAGGAAAGGAAAGGAAAGGAAAGGAAAGGAAAGGAAAGGAAAGGAAAGGAAAGGAAAGGAAAGGAAAGGAAAGGAAAGGAAAGGAAAGGAAAGGAAAGGAAAGGAAAGGAAAGGAAAGGAAAGGAAAGGAAAGGAAAGGAAAGGAAAGGAAAGGAAAGGAAAGGAAAGGAAAGGAAAGGAAAGGAAAGGAAAGGAAAGGAAAGGAAAGGAAAGGAAAGGAAAGGAAAGGAAAACTGGTCAAGAGTATTGGGAATAAGGAAAAAAATCCTAAAGATTAGAAATTGAGACTAGCTGATTCAAGATAACAAGGCTGGAATTTAAAGCCTGGAGCAGGGAAGAACCAAGGCTGAGAGACAGACAGACTAGAGAAGACGGATACCAGGGATCCAGATGGGAGGAGTGGAGAGAAGGATCAAGGACAGAAGTGATGGAAAATTTCTGTTAGAATTTTTTTTCTGTCCCAAAACTGTTGATGTGTCGGAATGAAAACATTCTGCAGAAAACATTTTGACAGCTTTCAGACAGGCACTTGCCGCAGCCCCTGGCAGCTCACTCTCTCGCTTCCCTGATTTCCCTGTTCCTTGGCAACCCACCTGGGACCCTTCTGGAAAGCACTAAGCTCCTGGCTCCTTCGCCTTGTTCCCTAGCTGGCTCCTGGCTGACTGGCTCACTGCAATTAGAAATACATAATGTCCTATGTGAGGGTAACCAGAAAAACCCAGAAGAATGTTTTTCACAGATGTTCTGGTTTGGCTTGCCAGCTTCTGGGCTGTCCATTTCTTCAGGAAACACTGAAGCAAGTGACCTAGAAGCCACTGGCAGTGGAGGAAGGCTGCCTATTTTCCCCAAGGATGAGCTTTCTGATGAGTGAAGTAATGTGGGGTTCCCTAATAGCTCAGTGCCTAAGGGTCAATTGGTCTTCCCTTGTCAAACCTGTTGACTGACGAGCATGTAGGTGTCTAAGCTGTCCGGGTACATCCCTTACTTGCCAACTGATATCATAATTGGCCAGGGAAATGGGAAGCTCATCCAGGAAAATGATTGCAAAATTCTTCCCCTCTTTTTTTTCTTCTAAATTTCCATTTTACTGTAAAGTTTGCATTTTTTACCTTATTTCCCAAATCAGAATGGAAAATTTCAAAACATGTTAAAGTTCTTCATTACTGGAAACTCTAGTTCTTCTACAGTTGCGTTACATGTCTGTTGCCATATGGTCTCTTCCAGCACCTTAATGGAGTACAAAATCCTCAAGTCCTGCCATTTTTCTGTTAGCCTAGATCTGTGAAACCAAGCAACAAAATGCCTTATTTTCTCTCCTGCTGGTTCACACAGAGGGTGACAGCCTCCTACTGTTATCAGTTGCCTCCCTTGCTCATTGCTGGAGGTCTGCTCAGTGACTGTGAATATTATAAATCTGCTGCTAATCCTATCATGGAACCACAAATTTTCATTAGTTCTTTTTCTTTTTGGAAAACCTAGGAAGTTAAGAAAGAAATGAAGCATTGAGCTTGTTAATTCAGTTACGCAATAATTAAGAAATGCCAGAATTTATCTGACTCTGTAACTATAAGTCGTCCTCTGAAGTACGTATGTTGTCAAATGTATTTCTCCCAGAAACACATAGAATGAATCTATAGATCCACAGAATGAATGAAGTCCTTCAGAGAAGGCTATTACTTGCATGGTATGAACCTGCTTAGCTGGAAAACATGTGCCTGTATGACATATCAGGGAAAGTCTTGCACACCCAGCCTGCATAGCTCACGTAAGTGCCAGGGCTATTCCTTGCCCTTCCCACTGTCCGTGGCTGGGCTAGTAAGAGCCATAAGACCAGACGCAACACTGTGGCTCTCAGCAGGAATGACATTTCAGACCAAGTCTACATTTTAGGTTAGACTAGTGCTTGCTGAGGTCAGAAACCAGAACTCTGGACTTCCTCACACACTAATCTACTATCCCTTAAGCAGAGCACCCTCTGGCTTCCATGCACTTAAGAAGGGCTGGTACTTCACCTGCATAAAGCTTTACCCTGTAACTTAAAACTTGACCTTGTGTTTGTCTTTAGTAACCAGCAGGTAAACAAATTGCTCACTATAGTTCAAGATTGTCATCTAGTTGCTACATCCCATGATAATAAAATAGAAGAGAGGGAAGGTTCAGTTTTCACAGGGCTTCCTTTCTATTGGAAAGATGACTCTATATAAAGGGTTATGGTCGGTGTTTCTCTCCTCATATGTGGGTACCCAAACAGAGCTCAACATTTCTGAATCTTTCATGTTTGCCAGCAAATACAGTATGTTACTATGCACAATGATAATTATTTTTTATTATTATTTTCCCAGATTCTGCTTGTCTCCAATGGAGGGAAGTTTATGAAAAAGACACTGATTGGGGAAGCTTATATCTGGCTTGACAAAGTGGATCTAAGGAAAAGAATAGTAAACTGGCACAAACTGTTGGTCAGCTCCACACAAACACACTGAGCAGAGCTGTCTGCTTAGGGCACAAAACCTGCAGAGTCTGCTATAAACAGCATCACTCCAAGACTATAGTTTGATATCATTGTGTTTAGCTAGTCTTTCAGAATACAAAGTAGAAAAGAGCAGTCTCTGGGCTACATAGCACACTTAAATGAGGGCTAGTACACTTGTTTTGCTGCCAAAGACAGCAAAGTAAAAGAAAACCTGGGCCCAGAAAATAAAGTGAGGCTGTTTGAAATGAAGACTGATATGAGGGCTCTGTGTTGTTGGACTCTTTGTGAAGAGAGTAACTGTGAAGGAAATAATGAAGGCTCGAAGGCAGGTGTTAATGCAGAGTTCGGCTGCAGCTGGAGGTAGTGTGATGGAAAGAGCAGTCTGGTTTTCTGTGCAACCAGAAGGAGATCATTTTATGCAAAAGCACCTAGGGTGACTGACTTTCCAAATCTCACTTATCAGAAGTGCAAAACTTGTTCCTCTGCACCTTAGGATCTCTGATAATTTCCTGTAGTGAGATTATGCCACTTGACACAACTGCAAGGCATTTGCAAGAGTGGTAATATTATTTTACATTACTCTTTTTCCTTCTTTCTTTTTCCTTCAGAAACTATGCTGTGGAGAATCAGATCTGATTGTTTCATTTGTTTCTGTGTGTTAACAATGAATATAAACCACTGTCCTAGAATGTAATGGCTAAAACTATATTAATGGTCTATAATTTGGGATGTGGTTCTTAGGAGAAAGGACAGGATGTAAACTGCACTACATCAGGAAGAAAAAAATGCTGTTTTGATGTCAGTGACACTGTACTGCACCCTATCGTTTGAATCAGCAGTTTTTAAAAAGTTTGGAATTGAAGAGACTTACTGGGTCTAACACAATTATTTCAACTAGTCCTTCCATTTTTCAGCAACCAGTCTTATTCTGAGACTGTGTGGAGATGATGAATTCTAGGCTACATTGTGGGCAATTCGGAGCAGTAGACCCACTGTGCTAACCCCAGCCTGCTCAGTGCAGGGCTCTATATCAACACCAGAGACACACCTGAAATCTAAGGGCAAAGGATAGCAGGGCAGTTACTGCCTGGATGCTGTTGCATTAGAGAGAATTGAGAATATTCTCTTGCTGTCTCAGGTGAATGTCTGAGTATAATCTACTCAACAGCATGGCTTCTCAGTTAGGAAAGAAGTAAACAGGAAGATAACTTGCAACATTTAAGACTGTGTCAGCACTTTCATGCTGGAAGTCCCACTTTCAGTGGCTTGAAACTGAGCAGTTAGCTCACACTGGGAAGAAACTACTGCCTGGGACGGTTTAGGCTGGTTGTTATATTTTCCCTTATAACATTTTTGAAGAAGGAGGGAGAGCTCTTTCTCCCATTCCTAAAAGTATAGCAGTTTCTTTAAAAAACAAGAATCAATAATGGTACCCCTGTTACTAAGAAGTCATTTAATTTTTCACAGCTTCATTAAAAAGTAGTTTCCCTTGAAGTATTACCTCATGATCTTTGCATATTTAAAAAGAAAATGACCAAACTTCTGCACTGCAGACATTTATTTTTCTTGCCCAATAAGGACTTCACAAATGCTTTAATGTACGTCTTCTTATATTTTCTGAATATATGTAGTACACTTCCACAGGTTGTGCAAGACCAACTGAAAATATTCTTCTGGAAAATAATATATGCTTAAAAAAAAAAAAGGAAAAATAAGGCTCAGCTTATTCAGAAGCTGGACTGACTATGAAAAAGCTACACCATTTAATCTGGTGACGCTTCCCACATACAGTTGTTGATTTATCTTTGTCAACTTAAAATAACAGCGTGGAAAAGGAATATGAGAAGAAACACACAGAAGATATTAATGATACACACACCAAGGAAACTCCTGTTAAGTTGTTGATAACCTGCTGGTAGCCTGCTTAACTTGCAAGCAGGGCAATCTTACCAAAAGCTTATTAGCTATCTTAAAAACACAACATCACTGACAGTGGAAGTAGGATGTGTGCTTTAATGTTGAATTTTACGCTTTCACCAGTATATGTATGCCCTACCTCTCATATATTTTAAAAACAGTCCTCTGGAGTTATTGTAAACATCCTATATGTTTTGATGTTGTGTATGTTTTTATAAGAAGATAAATATTTCAAAGAAAAAATCCCCAACCGAACCAAAAAATCCTATGTGGAAATATTTGACCCGTGTTGCTCTTTTGGTGGGTTATTTTGCATTCTTGATGGCTAAAGTGTGTTCTTTTTTTGAAAAAAGAAAAAAAAAAAGTCCAGTTTCAATTACTGTGTGAAGAACAAGCCATGAGGTGTGCAATTTTGTGCAAACTGCTGGTAATTTTGTTCTTGCTAAGATTTATTATGAAGACAGCAAGTCATGCTGGTAGTTGCTATGGAGATTTCCAGCAGGAACAAGCACTATCTGGCTGCCTTACTGGGAAGCCTGTAATCATCACTCTTAATTGAGAAAGCGGACAGGCGTGCTTTGCTCTCACACACATACAAATGTGGCCAATATTTTTATAAAATAGTTGTGCTGGGTGGTATAGCTGCGGCTGTATGGAACAGCCACCTTTGAGGGGTAATCGGCTGTCGACAACTGGTTTAATTCAAGCATCTTTGATTCTCTGAACAACACACAAAATGTTTCTGCATGTTGAAATGGCAGTTTCGGACTCCCATCATGAAACATAAAGAGTAGAGTTTGTCAGGAATGCGGCACTGCCCTGGCCAGCTGCAGCAGGGACAGGGCTCCTGTGGTGTCACCCAGGATGGGCTAGTGACAGACCTGGGCCCACGCACTCTCTCTTTTCTGAGGCAGCATCATTCAGAGGTCAGAGGATGCTTCCAAAGTGTGCCAAGTTCCTTTTTTTGACCAAATTTCTAGGTTGTACTGGAATCACTCTATGCAACACAGATTCATGTTTGAATGCTTTTTTTTCTTTTTTTTCTTGTTTTATGAATGAAGTCAGGAAAAACTCTCTTGTGACAACGTTTTTTAAAAAATAATCAAACAAGGACTATTAGTATTTTTTTACTTTTTTGTATATATCTCAGTATATTTTTTTCACTTTTTCTCATTAATTTTTGTTTCTTTTATCTGGCCAAAAATGCTTAGATGTGGCAACAGCTTTTATAATTTCTGAGTGATTGATTATTAATGAGTTCACATATTTCTATGATTGCTTTGAAGACACATATTGCAGGGAGGCAATAGCAGAGGCATTTTCACCTTTTTTAATCATAAATCTGCTGAGTCAACAGAGATTGAAGCTGCTTCTTTGTTCAAGGCCTTGTGTAGTGGAAACAAGCTAAAAATGAGCAAAAGCACAGTGTGTGTGTTTACAAATGACAGGGATTTCTAATGTTATCATTATTATTATTATGCATACAATGAGCAGCAAACAGCCACTTTTTTTTTTCCAGGTTAAAACTAGGCATGAGAGTTTCTGCGATGAATGTTGATCCAGTTCTTTATCATTACACTTTAAAGGGATAGTATCCAGGGGCAATGAGTGCTGCTTCTTTATTATTACCCATGTTTTTACATTACATGGATCCTGTGTGGAAGAAACAAAACCCCAATCCAAACCAGTTGAAGTCAATGACAACCGATCTGTTGACTTAAACTGGCTTTAAATCAAGACCTAGGAAATATTTTAGTTATTTTTCTGGATGCTAGATGTTTGCATGGTTAGACTGTGGGATATGGTAGCTGGTAACCAGCTGATATTGATTCTTACTTTGAGGATGATGATGAAGAAAAAGAAGACATCTATTATATTGTAAGCTAGTGTGTGCCCAATAGAGATTATTTAATTAGGATTTAGTTTCATGGAGATATCATAAAGATGTTAATAGTATTTTTTTAAATTATTATTTGAATCATAACTGACATTATTTTAAGTACTTTATTTTCATTGCTACAATGTTGAATGTCCCAGATTCCATTATTTGAGTAAATATCTAGATATGTACATACCTATGTGAATAACAGAGAAAATTTGCATTTGTGTGAGTGTAACTTATAAAGGTAATGAAACAGAGAGGAAATTTAGTCTAAGTATCCACCTACATTATATTTAAACCTTAGTCCTACATGCCTTGTGAATTTTTGGTACACCTGGCATGTAGGATCAGTTGCTCTTTATGAATACATGTTGCCTTTAGAAGGGAAATAGAAGGAATAAGTGAAACCGGATACTCTCTCTTTAAATCATAAGAAGCATTTTAATGTTTTCTATATGTTCTGTTTTATTATTTTGAAAAGATTAATAAGCAAATATATTGATGAGCTCAAAAGTTATAATATATATAGATATCCATAACTCAAAATAGATTATTTGAGCAAAAGCCGTTTTCTTAATTTGTTACCCTGTAAATAAGTATACATTTTTGTAAAACAGACTGAGTTTAAATTATTAACTCCATCTGACATCCAAGCATGTGAATGTGTCCTTATTTGATTGTATTTATAGATGTTCTGTGACGTGCTCAGGTGCTCAACAATGGCTGACTAGCGTGTGTGCTGTCATGCTACGGACAACGTGTACAGCATACCCAATGTTTAAAAAAATCCAAAAACACCAAAAAAACCACAAAAACACAAAAAAAAGATTAGTCCTTGGAGAAATGTAATGTTTCCACAGTGAATGTTGCATGCATAGGTGGTGGTTTGTTGATACTCATTTTGGTTTGAATTTCTTTTGAATTTCATTTTGCTTCCAAATTCATCAGGAAAAAAAAAAATACAGACTTGTTCTAAAAGTTGTAAAAACTGAAAAAAAGCGGTATGAGAATTGTATAAAAATGCTTGTAAATCTGTCTCAGTTTTCACTTTATGTATAAATCCATGTCATGGTTTTGTGATTGTATACAGGATGTATCTTGAGAACTTATGCAAATTGTGCTGTATAAAGGCTGTTATCCCAGTCTGACAAATAAATATTTAAAATATCTGGTTTGGTTTCTTTCCCCTAATTAACATGAAAATCTATTTTGCTGTTTCAAATTTCCCATCTGTTGACCACAGTGATTTTATTGTAATACTGTACATACTGCCCATATTCATCTGTCCTATTTCAGCATTAGCTCACTTCCCAGGGTATCTCTGATGTCCCATGTTTCATTTTGAAATAAGGAATGGTTAGGTCATCAAAACGTTCTTCAAACAAGTCAGAACCAGAATCCACATGGAGCTTGTTGGTATCTTCACACAGATTAATCTCTGGCATTCTGTATATACAACAAAGAAATGTGCATACATCAGCACAGTTTAGGAATGTACAGACTTTTGTCTCCTCACTGTGATGACAAGATGAATTGAAAATGTGGCCTAACTCT